CGGATTCGAACCCGCGACCCTCAGATTGTGAGTCGAGCGCCTTAACCACCTGGCCATGCCGGGCTATTGGAAGTGGATATGACTGTTCGCTGTTCTTAGATCCGACAAATAATTATCCTTTGAGTAGTATATAAGCTATTTCTAACACATTTTGTGTGTCAGATATATAGAATTGAGGTGATATCATGTTATTCATAGCTTTGTTATTAAAATAAGTTAAGTTGTTGCAAGCTATAATTCAAATAGATTCTATTTCAATATCGAATTTACACCTGTTTCAACTTTATATATTTCTAATTGTGTTTTTTGTAAAGTTTCCAAGATGATCATCGAATCGTTAATATATTTAGTGCAATTTTATGGTACTTACATACTAAATGCTTTTGTTAGGCAAGGTTAATAATAACTTTCTGATACTGCATTGTCGTTATGAGCATGCTTTAATTAAAATATGGATCTGATATTATTCATCTGAGGCTGAAACAGTGATGCTCATTTAATAGTAAGGCAGTAAAATTCTCATTTACTATAGTTTGTAGCCTGTGGGACAGCGGTAAGTCTGCGGACTTATAACGCTAAACTTTAAGGTTCGATTCCCAACGGTGGACACAGCAGATAGCCTAATATGACTTTGCTATAAAACAAAAACAAAAACAAAACAACAACAACAACAATTAATAGCTTATAGCTACCTAGAGGTGCTATCAAATTAAGGCTCGAGGCAAAGTAGACAAAAATACTGATAAATACATGTAATGTAAAAATATATGAGCATGCAAATTTCATAGTACATAAATACCACAACAGAATAGACCCCGAGCTGCTTTCTTCCTAAACCTCAGACAATCTGTTTTACTCTATCATTTCTGATACGGCCAAAAACGAAACAAGTTTTGGAATCAAGCGTGTTAGTAGACAAGAAAACTGTTTAAAATGAAACCCCAATATTGTGATCTTATTATCATTCTTGCATATACAGCAAGCTTATGCCGACGAAATATATGAAAATTAAAATCGTTCCCTCTGTACGTTCTTGATGCATATAAACTAAAAATGACAAGTACGTTACTAGATTGTACTGTATTAAACTTACAGTAACTAATTTAACAATTGCTAACACACGTTATCATACTGTAAAAAAACAAACAAAATATTCTGAATGATACTTTAAACTAATAATCGAACTTCAACTAAAAGTAATTTCAAAAACTATCATTAGAAAAATCCGTGGAATGTCTGAATTCTTCTAGTTTTCAATTTGATTAGTACCTTAAGAGAAAAATACAACAGGTTTACTTTCATGAAACAAATTGAACTAAGTGGCGACTTTAGTTGTTCTTTGTACACTTGTGACTTTTGAAACTGTAGTTCAGTCTGTAATATATATCCGGAATATCTAGAAATTACCGCAGTAGAAAGAAATACACACCCTTAAATGGTTTGATTAATTATTACCAATTACTAGCGGTAATAAGTTCAATACTAATAGCAATTGCCTGAAGAGATTATTTTCAAATACCTTGGAGATTTAAAATAAAAAATGGTTTGAAAATCGATAAATGATTGCTAATCTTCCAGCTTTTCACGTGAAAATCAAATCACGTCAGTCAGAAACTGGAATTATGTTTATTGGAAAAGTAAAAAAAAAGAAAAGTAAAATACTTTTCACTCTATAACCCATTTTCTGCCCAGCTTAAAAAAATAACAATCATAATAGCCAACATCTCTATATAAAAGAGATTTCAATTTCCTCCTGATATATATCAACTCTAGCTCTATTAGATTGGGAAAGTGTACAGTTCTTTGAAAATTAAGGTGGCGCTGTCTCTAGATGTACTTCATTCGTAGTTTAACTGCTTTTTCTATACATATGAAGGATGTGTGAGGTTTTCTAACTATCAGTGTTGCTTAAGACTTGTGCTACTGCGTTCCATGTATTTATATATATATATATATGTATGTGTATAAATTTAATCTAAAGAGTTCAAAATGTATATACCTACACAAACACACACACACACATATATATATACATAATTCCAATTAACCTGGATACAGGTTAATGTCTCCTTGGAGTTAGTTTTCTAAACAGCTTAGCTTATTGGGCTTAATATTCGTGAGAAAAAAATCGAACTATACTGCAGATTTGTATTTAATTTTATTCACATACTCGTTAATTAGTCCATTATAAAAATCTTCAGTCCATTGTGATGCTTATTATGAGTAATACGCTGCTAATTCCATTGCTTCCTCAGCGTTTGGCGTTTCACGTGGTAGCAATACATTTTTTTTTATTGTCAACCCATTTCTATGGAGTCCTTAGTTTGTGAAATTATTAAACTATTACAAACACAATGGCAAATATTTTTGTCACTATGCTTTTGAGAACGTATCAATTCAAATCATGGTATAATACATTTAAACTTAATTCCTTGAGGTTTGCTGGGTTATAAACAAATAGAAAAACGATATCAAATATACTAAACATTGTTCGATATTTTTCTATATAATTGCACGAACGCTAATTATGTCTACGTAAATGTTTTCATTTAATCAATAATATTTGAAATGCTATTCGAACCCGAAATTGCTATAGTTGTACATATTAATATATATTATTAATTCTTATAATACGTTTTTCATGCTTTCTAAAACAGCAACTTTATTTGTTGTTAAACGCAAAGCCACACAATAGGCTGTTCGTGCTGTGTCCATCAGGGGTATCGAAACACGATTTTTTTTATATATAAGCCCTCAAACTTATTGGTAAGCCACGGTGGGAGGGCATACAGAAAGTAAAAATATGTACAAACGAGTAATGAAAAAATATTCAAAAAACGGAAGTAAATGTAAGGATGGCTAATATCAATGGGGGGGGGGGATATCTGAAAGAAATTGATGCAGGGAAGAATTAGTGAGTGATAAATAATTGCAACCCTAGTAGAGAAACATACGTATTATCTAATAGACAAACAGGTTTTATCTCCTCACGTTTTGTGCTAACGCATATTTAGAAGTATTTGAAGAAAAAAATCTACAAAACCAAAACACAACACAAACATTCAGACGTTGTAAAACAGAAACTTGATTTATGCAACTGTTGAGTAAACTTTAATGTTTTATTTTTAAAACGCTTTAACTCTATCATTTCTGTGATATTATTAACAAATGACAAGGATTAGTAAAGTCAAGTAGAAACAACACATTCATGAACAGAGGACAACGGACATCAGAAGTTTATACCCGAATGTTAAAGAGAGCCGTGCCGTACCCGTCCATTGTTAGTGGGGTGGGTTCCATTGATAGAGTTCTTTGCTTTGGACTTCATTGCTTCTATCATGCTTATCTGAAATACAAGAATGTCTCATTTCATCTGTTTAACAGCTTCTGAATATATTGCAGTTTGCTTTTAATGACTGTTTTATGTACAACGCCATTTTTTATTTCATATTATTTCACAGATAAAGCAGAAAGTCACTGATTGAATTAAATAAGACTAGCCTAATTAACATGTAATGTTGAACCGACAAGGAAAGCGGTAGAATATAGTGTAAGGCATACAAGAACATGAATGAAAAAATACATATAAGAATATGAAGGAACAAATATATATAAGAACATAAACGATGAAATATATACCACTGTTATGACAAGGTTGTTTTAAATCTCACTCATAACTTCATGACATTCAAGTCTTGTAGAATGTACATAAATATGTATATAAATAAGTTGTGATCGTCCAGGAACTACTGCAACTCAATGACAATAAAAATACATTTTTAAGAATGAAACAAAAAACCTTTGTGCCATAATCAATAAATTTGAAGGATACATTCTGATGTTTAGTAATTCATTTAATAGTTGTAACCAATTTCAAAAGCGTTACAAAGGTTATAATTAATCGATCTCACATCCTCTGAAAGAACGTTTTTAGTAACATTATGCACATAACTACATATCGGTTTTATGAAATGAAGCATGTAAAAAAAAGAGAAAAAATGTTTTGGCCATTAATTTAAAAAACGCATTGTAATTACACACACACTCACACAAAACACAAATACGATTATAGCACGTTTGGTTAAGTTACTGCGTAAATTAAACAGGAAAAATGCACACGTTTGTTCATTTAAGAAAGTATGATGAAATAACATTTAAATACACGTACACATATTTATTTATAAGCATTACTTGGCTTACGAGAAACAATTTTGTTTTTCGATTCCTGAAATTAAGATGCTGAACTCAAACATTAATCTAGCTATAAAGACTAATTATTTAGATGACTTTTTCCATCACACATCTTTGTCTTTCAACTTCTGTTTATTACCTGTGAATCCTGTTTACCTAAAGCAAACAAAAAAATAAACTGGAATGAACTAACTTAGCCTGGAGGAAGAAATAATTTGTTTAGGACTGAGCTAGTTATGTTCGACTTAGTCGCCTTCCAATCAAGTATCAGCTTTATGTCGAACAGCTCCGAGGATTTATTATGTAGGGACAATTCAGTGAAGATTGAGTCATAATGAAGGATTGGAATTTGGGGATAAAGCTTAAGTGAAACGGCTCTGATAAGAAAAAACTTTCCAAAGTTTCATTAAAGACAGCAGGAAACACATTTACTATATAGAATACTGTAGCTTTTAATATGTAGAGTATTGTTAGTAGACGTATATAATGTAAGTGATAAAATGATTACTGTTGAAATGTTAATTGTTTCTATTACATATTTTCATAATAAATAATTCATAATAAACATTCATTAGTGTAGATATTTTAAAACATTTCAGCTAGTTATTATCATTTAAACTAAATAGAATATAAAATAGTTCAGTTAAAACAGTAGTCAAACGCTAAATATTTATAGTATTAACAGTATTAGTTCAGAATAATGCGTTTCTACTTGAAACAGTGTTACATACATCCAAAAGGAATCGTTTTTTAAAGAGTAGGTGTTAATTAATCTACCCAAAAGCAGTAAATATATATACATATATATTAAAAGTTTAATTTTCAGAAGAAAAACACATATATTCTGTGTTTTACTTATATTTTATTTTATTCTCATATTTTACTTTTATGTCTTTAAATATTTCCATTAATTCATAAATCTGTTTCCTTTTGTGTTATGCAAACATCTCATTCTACTTTATTATTTGAGCTACTTTTCCTTATATACCGTGTATCTATGGAAAATAAATGTTCCACAATAATTCACTCACTATCACAGTATATTACATATCGTCGACTGGTTGTCTGCTGTAATACTTTGTTTGGATGATTCCAACTGAATTATTGAGTAGTGTCATAGTGGGTTTTTGGAAATAAATATATTATTGTGTACTTTCAGAATCTCATTTTATTGTTGTTGCTTTCATTCATGACTGCCTAAAGTCTTTGTAAGAAAGTGGGGAGATGCAAAAAAAAAAAAAAAAGTAAGTCAATGTAATATAGCTGTTAATAATAGTGTATATATATACTAACCGGTGAAAATGTTCCTACTGCCCTTTGTGTTAGGCGCCTATGCTTTCACTTACGATATAATAAAAAACAAACAAACTTACTTTAGCTCTTGTCGCTTCAACTTTTGAGTTATAGCAGAAGTCTAAGAGGGCCACAATGACTGCTAATATAAGTCCCCCAATAAGAATGTAGAAACATCCGGCAACGTTACCTAAAGTCAACTCGTTTTGAGATGAATCCTGTAAACAACACATTTTCCGTGTTTATAGACCAGCTTTGTCAAACGCAGTTGTAAAGATATGAAAAACCTTTCGTGTTATCTACTTGGCTTTCAGTTTAAATAAAGTGGAAAGATACATTTCCCAAAATTTGACACACTTTCTTAATAAATTTGGTTTGATATTGTTAGTTTACTGTAAGAAATACGTGGAATACAATGATCACTGATGTAAATATTTTTCTAAATTTTTAATTTAATTTTAGTGTAATTTTTTTTTTTTTACAGAAACATACCAAAGAATTTTTCGTATCGTTTCCGTAGACATATATTTTATAAACAAGCATAAAATATTTGAATATATCATTTCTATTTCCTAGTGTGGAACACTTAATTATACATATATATAAACTATTGTTTTATAGAAATTTAACTAATATTGTTAAACCGTGTTTCAAACTTTGTTATCAATTATGCTTCAAATTATATTTTCATTCTATGCTAGAATGTATCACCATTTGTAAACACCGAAATGAAAGCAATCACACTATATGACTAACAAAATATTGAAGTTTTCAATGACTAATAAAATATTGAAGTTTGAAGATGATATTAGGATTTCTGGGGTGGCTAACTGTATTAAAGATGCTGCAGACTTACAGGGAGATGTAGATCATTTGATTCATTGGGCCAATACATGGCAGTTAATGTTTAACTATCAAAAATGTAAGGTGATGCATGTAGCTTTTCACAATTCAAATTATTGTTATGATTTAAATTGGAATACATTAAATACTGTGGTCGAAGAAAAAGATCTTGGTGTTGTGATCGTAAAATCAGTTAAGTCATCTAAACAGTGTATTGTAGCTAGCAATAGGGCTAACAGGATTTTGGGTAGCATCTATAGAAATATTGAATACAAGACACGGTATATTATTGTTTCACTGCATAGATCACTTGTAAAGCCTCATTTAGAGTACTGTTTACAATTTTGGGCTCCCTTCCTGAAGAAAGGCATTGAATTGTTGGAGAAGGTTCAGAGAAGAGCCACTAGGATAATACCTGGAATGTTGGGAGTATCCTAAGAAGAGAGACTACAATCTTTAATCTTGTTTTCTCTGGAGAGGAGAAGGGTCAGAGAGGATTTGATTGAGATGTTTAAAATTAATAAAGGTATTGATAATATAGATCCATCAACATTATTGTGCTTAGCAGTGAAACCAATAGCACAATTCAAATTTTGGCAGCGTAGGAATCGTCTGCAATTTATACAGTATTACTTTTCAGTCAGGGTTGTTGGCTTCAAGGGTGGTGGAGGCAGAAAATTCAACTGAGTTCAAGAAAAGATTTGATGAATACATGAGTAGTAAGGGATGGTTATAGTTGGGAACTAGAAGGGATATCCTTGATGGGCTAATAAGTTATTTTTTGTCCCTTTAAAATTTTATGAATTTATATTTTTTTCTTTAATGCTTTTACCTGTCTTACCAATAAAAAAGTCAACACAAATTGTTGGATTTGAAACAAGAAATGGTTTTACTCTTCCTTAAAGAAGTATCACATTTGTGGGATCGTACAAAGGCTTATTTGATGGATCATGTAACTTGGAATTATTTTGTGTACAAAGACAGAAACAAGTCTCAAGCAGTTAAAATTATTTAAAAGGAAAAATGTAGTATTTGCTCCTTTTTATCTCTTCTATAAATGAAAGAATCAGTATGCATTTTGGATAAGGCTTACATTGCATGGTAAAAACCGGGTTTCGATACCCGTGGTGGGCAAAGCACAGATAGCCCATTGTGTAGCTTTGTGCATAATTACAAACAAGTAAACAAACAATACATTGTATGATTTCAATTTTAAATGTCGGATTATACAAAGTTGTTAACATCACTATCCAGGTAAAAAGTATTCAATTCGAGGCAGCGTATTTAATATCGTTTTTTAAACTTTTAAACAGTATTATTTTAAAATAATGAGTGAAAAGTACATGAATTGAAATAGATGTATATACATTAAACTAGTTATTCATGCTCGAATCCCTTTTGAAATGAAGACATTATTATATATCAAGGATATAACAATTTATGTTAACATAACTTACCCCGCTTCCGCCTGTGTTACATTCACTTCTATCGTACCACCATTTATTCTTTAATCGAGCTAGATCCCCATTTTCTATTAGCGACAATACCGCTAAGTTCAAGCGGTCCCTAAAAGACGAAAAGTGGAAGAAAATACAAACAGGAAATGTTACAAAAAGTTTATTCTACAGGGAGTGTACATCAAACACGTGTAATTCGATCAGAGAATTGAAAACGACATTTTCTGAGTGGATGGCGCGAAAACCTGTGAAACCCCAAAGTCGACCGTTTTGTCATACCAACGAAACGAAACAGTCACGTGATCAATAAACCATTTCCAAATGTTGTCACTCAGCTTATGTTTCCTGAAAAAAAAATCTACAGAAAAAATTATGGGAATGGAAAAATTACAGTCGTATGTGGATACGTCGACCTTTGTTATTACGATTTGGCTCAAAAACCTGTTTTTTTTATAATAAATTTAATATAATCCGACACACAAACATTGGAATATTTACTACGACATTAATGTTGAAGACATTTAAATATTAAGTTAACATAAAACAAATAATCATAGGCATTACTTTCTTATATAACAAGGTTAGTTTACAATTTCAAACCAACTACAAACGGACAAAAAGTTAAACTAAACTCTTTTATATAAAGTCATATATATCCGAAGGTCATTCTTGGTAATTACACTCAATGACTAATATTGAGTTCCTTTGTACCTTTTTTTTCGTTTCTACTCTTTACTTACGTTATATCTACCCTTTTGTATATTAAAGTTTAGTTTCTTGGTCAATCGTCTTAAAAAAAAAAGCAAGCCAATGGTAATTTTTCGATAACTGTTGATATTAGTTTAAATCTTAGTAATGTACACCACAGCTACAAGATTTCGAAAACACGTTTCAAAGTATAAATACACCTGAGATATGAAAACAATCAAAAGAAACCTCAGTTTTGATCCCAGTGGGGTGGCTACTCCAAATCCTTTAGCATCAAGGTTTCTCCCTACTTTCATTGTATCACAGGGCAGTCGCTCATTTATATAATCATTGGTGGTGGATTCCAAAAGAAAAGCGTATTTCCCTTTAGACTCTCGCACTCTCTTTATCCCTTCGTCATATGAAGACGTGAACACGTGTTTTCTGGAGTTCATAAACTCCCACATCCGAGCGTAGGTGGCAATTTTAGATTTCTGAGAAATTATAAACAAGTAAAATGTTATCAGTCTAATTGAGACCTACCAAGTATTGTTAAAGCACAATATTACAGGACAATAAAACGATCTTGAAAATTACAAAAGAAAAAATTGCTAAACGCCTACTAATTTACATCTGTGGGAATGAACAAACGAAGTACTATTTAAATTTTACATAGTTAACACATCAATAAAAGTTAGAACTTTAAGTCCACCAATAAATCTTAATTTATTAGTAAGGATTGTCTATTTATTTTATACTTCAAATGGTTAATTTAACTTGTGAAAATTTATAGTTTCGGCACACATCATCTAAGAGAAAGATGGAAGTTTTGTCGAGATAAACAGATATATTTTTCACACTACAGACTGTTTTAAACTGGTGTTTAATTGTAAAATATTGCGATAATATTTACTCTCAAATCTAGAAGCCCAGTAAATAATAAAAATGCGGCAACAACTGTTGTAATAATCACAAAAACTGAGGTTTCAGCTATTTGTGAGTTAGAAACCTAAACAATGTACTAACAGTACTCTCACTGATGATAGTTTGAATTTTAACGGGCGTTGGAAAAGGCAGTGTGTGTCGTTTTTATACTTTGGAATGGTTTTATTTTGAATGATGAGATTTGTGTTGATAATGTCTTCTCAAGGTCTGCAAGCCAGAGTATTGAAACAAGAAATGGTTTTACTCTTCCTTAAAGAAGGATCACATTTCTGGGATCGTACAAAGACTTATTTAATGGATCATGTAACTTGGAATTATTTTGTGTACAAAGACAGAAACAAGTCTCAAGCAGTTAAAATTATTTAAACGGAAAAATGCAGTATTTGCTCCTTTTTATCCCTTCTATTACCAAGACGTACAAAGCCAATATAAGTTATCTATATTTTTCTTGGTTATTTTGAGTAATATATTTGTGATGTATGGTAAAACATGACCCAATGATAACTTTTAATTTAATCATTAAATCATTACAAGGCGCTGGACCAAAAAGTATCCATGCTGGCACCAAAAAGTTATCCAAATGCCTATTGTATGTTTTCTCTGCTACAAAGACTTGTAACTGCAATTTTGTTTACGGATATCGTATATGAAAAAAAAAAGTGAAAATGTAGCACATTAAAATAATTAAACACAAAAGTCCTAATGCAGGACCTAACTGACTTTTCAACCCATTTATAGGTTACTTTAAAAATAATAAAATCTAGACAAAAATTAATACCACTTTTTGGAAAGCAAGTACTTTATAACTGATAAGTGAAAGTTTTAACTGGTACCAAGAACTATCTTAGTTTCAAGTACTTTATATAAGCAACAAGTCAATCTATTACTGAATGATCATAGCTATCATTGGTAAACTATTTCTAACATATAGTTTTCCCTTGCATTCTCAATGCCTTCTTGAATGTAAGATCTTCGGAAGCGACAAATAATTCCTTTACAAATGTAATTTCATAATAGCAAATACAAGTATGATAAAAATTGCATCGTATAATTTGTTATTTTTTATTTCATTAAAAGTTCTAATGTTTGAATACTTTAAGAAACACATGAAAAACAAAAAACAAAAACAACAACAACAACAGGCAATTAAACTTTTGTGAGATTAGTAACGGACTGTTTAATTCAGTTATATTCTTTTTGTCAGGGTAAATCATTTCTTTAAAGTTTTTTGAGATTGAAATTATAGTAAAACCCATCGGCGTAGCTGAAAAAATACAATGAATTTTTGAAAAAAAAATAAACACTTATCTATTATTTTCTATCTTCATGTTTGTAACTTTCACCTTTGACATGCTATTTGACATGCTGTTCTCAGTCGTAGAACTGAGTAATTTCAAGATCTAATACGTAATTTCCGAGTTTACTGGGAACACATCATCGGCCAGGCAGTAAAAATGAAACAGAATAAAACTGAAACCGAACAAATACTATAATACTATCATAACCACTACAAACAAATGATTTTATTGCTCTCTGCCGTTACGTAATGTAATTTTGATAAATTAAGTAAAATGTTTAGTCACAATGTTAGATTTTTTGTCATTTTACTAAGTTTTGTAAATCACAAATCTAAAGAATTGTATATTTTTCATTTCTCATTTAGGTTTTTTGGTTGAAGCTTTAACTTTGTTCTTATAGACCTTATTCGTTTGACATCATACTAATAAGTTTTAAGAAATACGCAAAAACTAGTACGCAGAAAACTAAAGTCTGGTATTTTGAGCAACTTATGGAATTAACAAAATTTTGATTTATTCATTTATTTTGTATTCACTGTACGTTGATTTCTTCCATAAATATAGAATAACAATTAATTATACTGATACGAGTTTTACGATCGTGTAAGGTGAATATACAGAAATTGGTTTCCATCGCGTACCAAACGCAGCTAAAGGAGAAAAGTCTGGCTATGAAGATAGTAATGCATTCACCCATTCAGTGTGATCTAAAATTGTATTAAAAGTAATGTAACTTCTAATTCAACAGCATTTGTTGAAGCCCCGAAATTGTGAATCACAGAGTTACTTATCAGAAAGCAGTAAAATTGGTTTAATTCAATAAAAGTATAAAAGTTAGGGACATTACAAGCCTAATTTATAATTAATAAACTGTATTTTTCAGTTTTTCACATAATAAATATGTCTGATTTAAAATAATTTCAACTGATTATTGATCGTATTTGAAATACATGCTATTGTGATCATATTCTCTAGGTGGTTACTTAGCACAAGTTTGACCGTATCAACGTATGCTATATATAAGAACTAACAATAATTAATGTAAACGATTGCAAATGTGAGACATTTTGATGAATAAAATTTAAATCTATTCGGCAACACAAATACAATGTACAAACGCAAACAGTATCTGCGTTCTTGTCTATCATTATCTAAGGTGATAAGCTTCACTATTAGGCGTAACTTTCGGAAAGTACAGAACATTAATTTTCATGACATGGAGATCGTATAAGCTATAATACCGAATATTAAATACATATATTATGACATAAGATACTTAACAACCTCAAGACTTTGATCCGGTTCTAATTTCTGGGATTTAAAACTCTCTGGAATTTTAATGAAGTACATGAAAGTATTTTCAAACTTAACAGTTGGTCATAAATTATCCATGTTTGTTTAGTATTCCATATTGGGCTGGTCGTAAAGGTATATGCTGTTTCGTCCTTGGTAGTCACACTGAGTTGATTTATATAATTCTGTTCAATCAATAGTAATTTTTTATATACCCTTCATAATTTGAAAATTACAAATACTTCTTATTCATCGTCCATTTTGTACACGATTTCACAGCTTTGACTTATAATCGTTGTACAACTCGGAGGAGCAAAACTTTTGTCTACCGGTTGAATTCGCACAACCGTCAGATACCGATCAAAATAATAACATGAAATACGTTTAACATCCAAGTTACCAAATAATTTAACGTGTTACAAAAACGATGTATAATTATAGTACCTTAGTCAGGTAGCACAAATGAGCAGAAAAGCATATCTAAATGAGTTGATCTTCGACTATTTTCTTTAATAATATAAAAATGAACAGCTATTGACAAAAATAATAAACAAATACTAAGTCCTTCAAAAATATGACAATCTTATGAATATTTATTGCGGGAAATAATTATGTAAAACGTTAGGAAAAAGGGCCTAAAAGGCAGATACTACGGAAACGTCATCACTTTAGTGCAAGAAAATGACCTGAGAACAGTCACGTGTTGATAATCTACACTGTCATTGGTTGTCACCTCACCAGTCAAAATGTGTCATATCAGTAAAAATCCTATAAAAGTACAGACAGTCATATTATATCCTGTAATAGTAGTACAAATTAGTTCATGGCTTCCAGGATTGAAATACCGCAAGACAATCGTTGATAAATCAATGTTTTGGCTAGTCAAGCTGCAAAGAATTGCAAGAAGATTTTACGTTTGAGTAGAGGGTATGTGAGACTGAAACCCTCCAAAACTAACGTTAAGTATCTCAAAATATGTTCTTTACGAGATAAAGGGTCTAGTACAGGTCTTGCTAACGACTGTGCTGTAAATATAGGTGTAACTATTACCTCGAGAACAGTTAAATACACATTAGCACGAAGTGTCTCAATGGACATGTAGTTGCCCTAAAACCCCTACTCAGAAGAGGCAAAGGAACCAAAATGTTCTAATGAGTATTTGGTCACAAACAGTGGAATGACCAATAAATGTGTACTCTCCTCTACAGACTAATCCAAGTTCGAATTGTTTGGAACAGTCACTGACTATCTTAAGGCTATAAACAACAACTAAAGTTAAGACAGCAGATTACAACATTTTTTTTAAATATCAATAACCAACAATCGACGGCAAAGAGAGAGTTCCATCATATGTAATGTACAATATCTACAGTGAAGCTTAGTGAGGGATCAGTACATGTAAGCAGCTACATGTCAATGATCTACATAAAACTGATTTCAAGTTGACTGCTGACAAGTACAGGAAGAGAATGATCCATCATGTCACTCCTTCAGGAACGCGACTCATTGAGATTAATCTTCCACTAAGCATACACCAAATATAATGAAACTATATCTTCACAGAAAAGAGGCCGATTGAGCATACACAACCATGGCTTGGCTTTCACAAAGTTCCAATGTTAACACCGATGAAGATGTAAAAACTGAGAAGATGCAAAAGCGAACAAACAGTTTAGGTGAATTGTTTATGCGTCTTTAATACAGAATATTTGGGACAATCTTTCACAGTCGTACACTGCTAAACATTATGGCGGCATAAAAGCGACGTGTAATTTTTTTGTGTAAAGAAAATGGCTTAAATACAAAATTCTAGTGGATTGTACACCTTACTCGCTTTTTGTTGTTATTTTTTGTGATCAAGTTTTCCAATTGAATATTTATTTGTCATTATTCATTTGTTACTCTTGTATATATGTATCACTAGTATGTTTCCATGTTTATTTCATATTTATTGTAAGTAAGTTAGGAGCTACTTTAACAGTTTATTTCTGAATACGTTCTTCAATACGGATATAGAATTTATACTATAATTTATCGAAAGATTTATACGAAGATCTAACTGAATTAGTCCTTATTTTGTGATCCATAATGCATTATCCTTTGTAACCAGAGCATGGCTACCAGGAGAAGTTTTTTAGGTATGTAAAGGCTAAAATACTGGAGAACTTGTTATCATATTTTTAGAATAAGGGGGTACTGCCTAAGGTTTACTGCATAAGCAACGAGCATCATAAAGGTAATAAGCAAATAACACAAACACCTTTTAAGAGTAAAATGATTTAATATGAACTTATTGAATACGTAAGTTTTATGCAACGTCGTATAAACACGATTTTGTTTTCGGAAAATAATCTTGATACCAAAGTTCAGTTCACATGATGCACTTTAAGTTACTGCTTTACTATAAACACAATATTGTGTACTTTTTGATACGTAGAAATGGTTCATATTGCATATTAATACAAATAATATTTGTCGATTCGTAATTTCAAATATAATGACGCAAGAGTGCCTAATCTACTTATCTGTAAGATGTAAAGTTTGAAAGCCTCATTAAAATCGTAAACGAACAACGAGGTATTGTAATAATGATATATGCAGTTAAAATATTCATTTAAATCAAAAATTATTTTCTATGCTCCACCAAACTATTCTACCTATGTTTCAAAGTTTCATTGCAATGAATATTTACAAAATCTTAAAATACAAATTTTCCCTTTAATATCAGTAAAATACTAATTTCCTGAGAAAACGTATTACAATGGAATTTCATAGGACCAACCCTAAAGAATTCTTGAGTTGAAGAATACATTAAGGTGCCGTATTCAACCTCTGTTTGTTTAGCTAAATCATCTGCTGAGTTGATAGGAGTCACCATTCTCTCTACAGTAAGGAAGGCTGCTAAGTTGGCTGTGTAGGAGGATATGATTATGAGAGTAAAAAACCACCAAACGCTGCCTACAATCCTGCCAGCAACAGATCTAAAATCAATAATGGATAAAATACTAGTTTCAAAATTTTAGTTATAGAAAAATACAATAGTTGTTAACAACAGGTATTATGTTATTAGAACTCAGCAGTATTAAATACATTTAAGCCTCTCCTATCTGGATAACACTTGACTTATTTTGTATGCCAAGCTTACTGTTATCACATTAATTTGAAACAGAGGAAAACTGAAAAGGAGTAATATTCTGCCCTCAGGCGACCTTTTGAACTATTCTGTGTCCTTACCCAACTTTAACCATACTACAGTATAGATTACGAAATGAAAATGAATGTAAATAATAATATAACCAGTAAATCTTCCAATCAATCAAAGTAGAAAATAATTTAACAGGATGAAAATAAAATTATTATTCTCATTCAAGTAAAATGAAACTGGATTATTAAAAGGCATGAATACGTGTAAAACTAATCACTGAGATTATACAGACGTTAGGTTTTTTTATAATGTTGACCGAAATTACATTAGAATGAAGATTTAAACACGTGTCATTTTTCCTTTTCCCGAAAGATCAATTACAAACCAAACTTTTTATCTACGGAGTAACTATGTCTTGGGTGACTGTATAAATTACCTTGGACAGACATCACAGCCTTGCTGCATAAAAGCTCCTAATGAAAACCACAAACTGTTGATGAGCGAGAAATCATTAGACATGGTTGGTCCTAAGAAGGTATCCTCCACTCTCCATTCGTGCGGAGAAAATCGACTAACTAGGAACAAGACCACAGACACGCCCACGTAGGCGAAGATGATACACATCCAAATCTCTTTAGATAAAGGGTTCATGAAGGAAAACACTCCGGGTTTCTTTTTCATCGGTTTCTTGATCATGATGCTAATTCCCAGTGACATGTACGGTTTGGTAAAATCTATGACCCTTTCCCTGACCTCACTGATAGTCAATGGCGCGATGGCCATGTCCGCCTCCTGAAAGTTAAGAGTAAGATAAGCAATTTAGACAGATGGATCATCAGTAACTTAACGCAGAGATGGAAAGTTTCTGTTAGGGTCAGAGTTCCCCACAGAATAAACCCATTTTTACTGAAACGAAATAGTTGCTTACTTCGTTACTAACTAAGGGAGAACTGTTAAGAAACTCGGGGTCTATCTGTGTCAAACAGTTGTAATATAGCATATAACGCATAATTTACCAACAATTTATCACATGAAGTATAACAAAGCATTACTATACAGTGAACTATTCTATTATGTGAGGGTATCATAAACGTGTTTTAAAATGTTGTCAACGGTCCTAAATTATTAAATCAAATTATATTAAAATTGTCAGTAGCAGTAAATATGTTTTAAAGTAGATATTATATTTTGTTCATAGGGATGTAAAAATGTGTGTATGCTTGCTTCGTATCATATCTATCAGGTATATATGCATTAGTATTAATATAATCTAAGAACTCACATAAAGTTAGCAGTGTACTTTTATTTCAGTTTACCATATTTTTTACCATTTAACGGTGCTATTAAATACTCGAGAAATGGAATAGTTGGTAAATTTTGAAATGGACAAAAACTTCCTGGAATTTATGCATGTGGATTAACTGTTAAAACAGCACTCCTGAGAAATTAACATTAAGAATTACTCAATCTGTCATTAAACCTTCATGGCTCATTATAAATAAATGCAAATTAATGGCTAACAGTATATTAGAAGTTTTAGAGGCTTCTAAAAATGAATAAATGTGCTTAATATACGCAGGAAATAAGCTGCCCAATTGAAAAGAGCACCAATTCAACACCTTAAAAATATATTTATATGAAAATGATTTATTTTCTAACAAAGCCACATCGGGTTATCTGATGTGTCCACCGCGGGGAATCGTTCCCTGGATTTTAGCGTTCTAAGACCATAAACTTACCGTTGTCCCAGGGTGACCTGAAAAGTTGAACAGAACATAAACGTGTATTGACTTTATATGAGAATAAGGACAAGGTATATAATTGTTAGATTTTACCCACAACGTATAGAGAAATCCACCAGTTAAGTAGTACCCTATGTGATAATTATAAATCATTTATACTACTGTATATATTAATTACAAGTGTTATTTTGAATTTAAGTTTGAAGCAACTGTTCTCAAACCTGGTGGTATTTTAACTTTATGTAAATATCATCTAGAAATATATTGTTATCTTTCAAACCATTAGTTTAGTGGCTTTTCGTAGACCTAAGAATAAATCTCATTTCAATCGCATAATCGTTTTAGCAAAATGAGTTGATCAATTTTGAATCTCTACACATATTTGATTTTATCATTCGAAATGCCCCCCAGTGGCACAGAGGTATGTCTGCGGACTTATATCGCTAGAAACCGGGTTTCGATACCCGTGGTGGGCAGAGCACAGATAGCCCATTGTGTAGCTTTGTGCTTAACTTCAAACAAACAAACAAATCATTCGAAATAAATTTATTTTTTATTCATACAACCCTAATTTAGTTTAAGATACTTCTTAGAAAATTCAAATATAGGTGGAGAAGTGTTTTTTTTCATAAAGTTTAGATTTTGCAACAAAAATTATGGCCTTATCCACATTATCAATGTTATTTGATAATATTATGATATTATGTTGAATTTGATTCTATATAATAAAACTTAATTTACTTCAGAAAAGAATACTACTTGGTTTTCTGCAGTTTCCTTAGATTCTTGATTAAAATACACCAGAATAAATTTCTAAGTACGACTGGGTGTTTTTGTCATAGCAAGAGCTAAGAAGTGTAGTCCCTCACGTCTGTGATTGGGTCAGAGGCGGTGATATCGTTCAAATTGTGTAGGCATTCCACCTAAAGTCAAAGAGTAAATAACCTTACCTAAATCAGAGTAATTCTATACATCATAAGTCTCTATAATAACCGTGTATATATTCAAAGGAAGAAAGTCGTACTTTACACTTACCTTGCGAATAAGTTCTCCAACCATTCCGTTCCAACCAGCTGGTGAGTTAGGATCTTGCCCGCCATATTTAGAGTCATTAACTAACTTCAGGACGTAGTCAAGATTAAGTTTATTGGCAATAAGTTCTGCCAGGTCTTTACAGTAACCTTCGAACATGGAATTTCCTTCCAGCACTTCGCCAGGATCAGGTTTTTTGTACATTAGATATGGTTCTTCCTATGGGAATAGGTAAAGTTGGAATATTGGAAAATAGCCAACAATTATCTATATCTTATATAAACTAGATAAATTAAATATTATACATTGATAATAAAATCAGTATAGACATTGCTAGAACGATAACTGTTCATATTCCTATTTACCATGTAATAAAAACAAAACAAAATATGTTATGTGGTTAATTCCATAAAACTATTAAAAGTATTAGTGATGAAAAGTAGAACGACGGCAACAACAACAATTTGACACGTGTGTGTACGGTAACGAATATTTTATTTTTGAACGTTTCAGAATGTATCAGCGATCTATATTGGACAAGGTAAAATATTAGATACACATAGTGAAAACAACAGCCACCCCATGTTGATTAAGAATTTCAAAGTTGTCTTATCTTGATAACTTAATATTGAACTTTTAATTAAATAAAATGTATCTATTATAAATGAACTTACAACTTTAAATAATAACACAGCTTCACTACAATTAAGTCTGTTCTGAATAACTTGTATAATATTGTTACAATTGTTGCATTATCCTATTCTTTCTTGTTTATTTGCTTTTTTAAAAATTCATTTCACCCTTTTATTCTCTATTTTAATTATTATTTACAAAATGTTTGAACTTTATAACTTTTTGCACCTGATACTTACCTTGTTCAATATGGCTTGTTGAAGATGCAATATGTACATTTCGAAACGTTCAAGAATTAAATGTTTGTTACCGCACATACACATGTAAAATGTTCGTTGTTGTTGCCGTTGTTCTACATTTCATTATCAAACTGTGATTCCCGTCGAATATGTGTGTTGCTAATTTAGATTAAAGATATATATATTACAATATGCAAATATTACTTGAGATCTTCTCAAATTACCCCTCAATTGTTTCTATAAATTAAAATCAGAAAGAGGTTTTCAGGGTAAAAAAGTTAACAAATACAAACGTTGTACCTTTACAATGAAAAAAAAAAGAATGACTTCCGAATCATGTGTTATAATTTTATAATTGTAAAGTATATAAAAGTTATACTTACTGTGTTTATTAACGAAGGAACTAGACAAAACAGTTGATCTTTCTCTTGCAGCTTGTCACACTTATTAGAATCAAATACTGTTTTTTCAATCATTTTCATTCTGGTACTAAATATATGAACTCTATTTATTTTCTTAATTTTAGTTTAATTTTATAAGGTTACGCAATATATATTTTGCAAAAGATCTTGTAGTATAGGTTGGACTAGACTTGTTTGTAATTAAGCCCAAAGCTACACAAAGGAATATTTGTGGTCTTACCACCAAGGGTATCGAAATCAAGTTTCTAGTATTCTAAGTTCACAGACATACCGCTGTGCCACTGGGGTCGGGTCTAGACTTACCAGTATACTTGTCACAATGTAGGTTTTATTCTCAAATCCTCTATCTTGTTTCACCCTTTTGTAAACGGGCGAGACAAGTTCCAGTCCTCGACTGTCTGTCCACTCGGCAATCTGAAAGTACGGGTAAGGAGTTTTTTTTTAATTTTGATTTATGTCCACTCGGCAATCTGAAAGTACGGGTAAGGAGTTTTTTTTTAATTTTGATTTATGTCCACTCGGCAA